ATGAAATGAAAGTTCTTTTTTTTTTTTTTTAGGAGACTTTGTTATGTGTAGCATTTTCCCAGTTAACTTAATCAGAATATGATTATACAAATCATGCCTTGGTGTCTGAATCTCTAGTTCTTTTTTCTTTTCGTGAATCTCTGGTTCTTGAGATTGCAAAGTATTAAGATGGGATAGCAATGGATAGCTCAACATTTTTATCCACATCTACTGTATTTAGTTTGTGAGTTTGGGTAGTGAATGATACTTGTGCATAGACACTGTAGATTTGTATTACATTTTTATTGGACTTTGCTATTTGGAGAGTAAAATGGTTTAACTCGACAGTATATTTTTTCGTTAAAAATGAATTGAGCTGGCATGGTGGCATACACCTGTAATGTCAGCATTTTGGATGCCGAGGTGGATTGCTGTGAGTTCAAGGCCAACCTGGGCTACAGAGTTGAAGGCTAGTCTGAACTAGTGAGTCCCTGTCTCAGTAAAACAAAACAAACAACAACAAAACAAAAAATTGAGGCAGTATATGAAGAAGGTATTAGTTTTTACACATCAGTTTTGGTAATAAATATTTTAAAGATAAATTGCCTGTTTTTGTTTTGTTCTGCACAGCCTGGAGCAAGTTTGGAACAGACACACATTTTTGTACTTGCACATATTCTTAGACGACCAATTATAGTTTATGGAGTAAAGTATTATAAGAGTTTTCGGGGAGAAACTTTAGGATATACTCGCTTTCAAGGTAAGCCATTATTCAAGAACATTTCAGAAGTCTTTGTTTTGTATAATACAGTTTGCATCATTAATGGGAAGAGAAGGATGAGAGGGTGGCTCTTGGACATGTGATACAGGAAGCAGGGGCCTTGGGCTCTTTCCACCTGAATGTTTGTGATTTTTTGTCTGCCGTTTTTCAGGGGTTTATCTGCCTTTGTTGTGGGAACAGAGTTTTTGTTGGAAAAGTCCGATTGCTCTTGGGTATACAAGGGGCCACTTCTCTGCTTTGGTTGCCATGGAAAATGATGGCTATGGTAACCGAGGTGCTGGTGCTAACCTGAACACCGATGATGATGTCACCATCACATTTTTGCCTCTGGTTGACAGTGAAAGGAAATTACTCCATGTGCATTTTTTATCTGCTCAAGAGGTAAGCAGCATTTCAGGTTGATCTTATCTGTTACTATGAATTAAGTTTCTGAGTGTGATTGTAGTAATTGTCATTTTCTGTAAATTCTGGACAGGTAGATTGAGATTTACCTTTTCAAAATTAGTGTATGAAGACCAGGCAAGGAACTAAGGAGTAAAGTTCTTGCCGTCAGGTGATGTGATGAGTGCTGAGAAGAAAAAGCAAAAAGCCTAGGAGATTCAGGATTTAAATTAGGATGATAGAATGTATCAAGGAGGGATGTGAGCCTTGCAGTCTAGAGCTATAGAATCCTAAGAATCGTCAAAGCCAGTGTGGTGGTGGGGGCAGGGCAGGCGGCTAAGGGGAAAGTGGGCAGGCCAGAAAATGCGGTCAGGAGGATTAGCAGGAAGCAGGGTTTGTCATTTTCTTTTTTTTGTTGTTTGGTACCTGGGATCGAACTTGGGACCTTGAACTTGCGAGACAGGCGGCAGAACCACCGAGCTAAATCTGGCCCTGTCACTCTTTTATTTCTTTGAGATAGGGTCTTGCAATATCATTCAGGCTGGCCTCCAATTCATGGAGACTTCCTGCCGACAGATGTGTGCCACCACACCTGGCTGTCGGCTCTTCTAAAGCTCGATTGTACTGTGGATGAGTTGGAAAGCTAACCAGCTGTGTGGCTGTTTGGCTGTGGCTAGATGCCTAAGGAGCTGAGTTCATTATTAGGTAACGGGGGAGAGAGAGCGTAGTAGACTCAGAGAAGGTAATGAGGACGTATGAAAGAATACTCTCAGAAAGCCTGGATTCATATAAAATTATTGATTTTTTATTTAGTATACTAGTAACGATCATAAAACATTTATAATCACAACATTAAGAAAAATAAGTCATACACCATATCTTGTACAACTTAAGCCTATACATAATTTACCAAATAAACTTACCTTGTCATGGGTTTGAAGTTGTGACTTTTTCTGGCATTTTCTTTGCCAGGATCAGTTAGAATATTGACTTTTTGCTATCCTATGAAATTACCTCCTAGGGTGTTCATCCTTCTAGCCTTTTCTGAGAATTTTCCCATTGATGTTTTAAAAAATTTAATCAGAATAAAACTGGTTTTTAATTATAAAACTGGTAAGAGGATGAAACCATGCTGAAACAGTTTATTGGTTTGGCCTTTTCATTGTCATACAAGCTGTAGGTTGTTCCTATCAAGTCTGACCTGTTGTATTCTTTTTCTTCAAACTCGTCTCAAAGCTAGGTAATGAGGAACAACAAGAGAAACTGCTCAGGGAGTGGCTGGATTGCTGTGTGACTGAAGGGGGAGTTCTGGTTGCCATGCAGAAAAGCTCTCGGCGGCGAAATCACCCCCTGGTCACACAGATGGTAGAAAAATGGCTTGACCGATATCGACAGATCCGGCCTTGCACATCCCTGTCGGATGGAGAGGAAGATGAAGATGATGAAGATGAGTGAAAAGATCAAGGCGTCAGAGCTGTGATGATTTTCAAAGTGTGGTGCTCCAAGCAGAGTGTACAATGTGGAACGAAACAAACTTGGCAGGATTTGTTCAAATATTTTTTGGATCCACGTGTAGTGGAGATAATGCATCTACTGCATGAGGAGACTGAGAACTTTGGTTGAACTAGTTTGTAAAAAAAACAAAAAACCTAATTTTATTAAGACAACCTTTTTTCCTTTCAAATTGTAAATCTGTCTATAAATGTAACGCATGTGGTTGTGTAAGAAATTGTGTAATAGGAAAAGTTGTACCAGCATCTTCATATTATTGAGAAATTTTTTTGCAGCATGGGTGCTTATGAAAAGCACATGGCAGACAACTCTTATTCCCTTCATTAGAACCTGGCATTCTGTTTTCACCTTAAATGATCCATTTTACATTAAGTCTCAGATTTGGAAACTTTGTACAAACTATCCACAGTAAAACAAAATAAACAAGCTTTTATTTTAATTTAGTTCCTTTTGTGCCCTGTAAAATAAAATCAAACCTTTTAGGGAAAAAACTACAAGAAAAGCTGATAGTTTTTTATTGAGTATAAACTTCACATAGGCTTTTTGTCTTAAGTTTTCTGATTTGCCCCCTTTCAGTATTTAGGTATTTATTTATTTGTTTGGAAGAGTACCCTAAGAGGAGGGTTCTTATTCCAGACTCTGGGCAGTGGTCATTTGTATTTATTCCCTGGATGGAAAGGGAACAGGCTCGCTTATCACTGAATGGATTGTGTGAAATGTTTACTTGGAGTCCATCCAAAATGTTCTACTCCCAAATTGCCAGGCAGAGGGTGTTTGGATTCTTCCCATCTTTTATCATACAGTACACCTCTGCTCTAAGTAAATGCTGTTAGAAGGGCATGTCTTTGCTTGGGCTGTTTGGGAATAACAGTTCAGTACAGAATAAAGATTTAAAAAATGCAATAAGGTGGTAAATGCATTGTATGAATTTCTGTGTAGTCTGAGATTTTTTTTTTTTGGCATGTTGATGATTGTGGCCATTTTTATTTAAAGTTAAAACTATAATCTTAGGTAGAAAAACTTTTTGAAGGGTATTACTTGACTACTTCAGGTATACATTCAATACTACGTAAATTTCTAGCCTATCTCAGGAACACAAGATTCAGCATCCTGATAAGCATTTTGTGTACTGTTGATGTGGCAAGGAATTTGCAAAAAAGCAAACATGCACACACAAACACACTTTCTTTTTGATGAAAAGGCTGTGAAAACCTTTAAATATTTACTGTTTTCTGTTTAGATGGTATTGCAAAGTATGTAATCCACAAATTTGATGCTGGGATACTAAAAATAGAAAATATCCATGAGCTGTCATGTCTTCAAGGTCTTTCTCCTTTTCTGAACTCAGTAAAAAGCATTTTTAGGATGAAAGGATCATTTTTGCTGCCTGCTAAAACTTGCAGGAAAAAGTTTTTACACTATGGTTCCATATAAATGAGTTTGGGCGTATTACAGTATTGGTAAATGTTACTGGTTTAAGTAGTTTTCTTACAAATTGACTCTATATGGTTTGCTTTTATTTTAGTCAATAATGAAGTTTTGTTTTTTTTTGGTACTGGGGATCGAACTCAGGTCCTTGCGCTTGCACAGCAGGCGGCAAAACCACTGAGCTAAATCCCTGGCCCAATAATGAAGTTTTTATAAGGGCACCATTCTGACTACTTAACAGTATCTATAGTAACTGTTCTCCATGCATAGGGATAGTTATTTAGGGGGCAGTGACCCTGTTCCAGTTGCTAAGCAAGATCTGCCCTCCCAAATGAAGCCAAAGAGAATTGTTGGAGAAGCACCTGATGTCTGGGGTCTACGTTGTACTAAAACACTGTCCAGAGAATCACAGGCTCAGTACTCAACATCGTTCTGTGTTGTGGTCCAGTGAGTGTCCTTTACCCCAAGTTCCCTCTTATTTATGATCAGTGATTCTGACCACATACTGTTTGATGGATGCAGCATTCTTCGCTGTGGGAAAGAATTAAGATGGTTCCTTTTCCTGGCCTCCAGACAGGAATGGAACTTAAAGTGGTTTTCATAACAGACTGGCTAGCTATTAAAAATCTTGGTAAATCAGTGCTCTCTTAAACTCTTGAACTATTAAACAGCCATAATTATTGTTCCAAGAAAGAGTACAAAGTCCTTTGTCAAAGGTATATGCAGCTAGGTGACAGACATGAATGTCTTTAGGACAATAGCATGAAATTATGTGAACTGAACTTTTTTTTTTCTAGGATGAAACCAATGTGGTGGTTTCTGTTCTCATTTGTTATTTGAAGTCAATTTATATATATAATTGTTTCCAAAGGACTGTTTGAGCAATTAAGATCTAATTAAAACCCAGACACACCATGGATTCAGACTTACCGTTTCTATTTTTGACTCTTAGGCTTATCCTGTCTTAGATTTAACAAAAGGTAAAACAGTGGTATACACAGTATACATGGACCTTTTTAATGCAAATTTCATTGTGTTGATAAGTGATTATGAAGTTAAACTGTCTGCATACTGTGGTGATAGGCCAATAACTCTATCTTCCACATTTCTCTGTGTGAGGTGGTTTTAATGAGATTTTTCATGGCACCGTTGGAATGGGGCTACTACCTGAAAATGAGTAAGGACACATGGCCAGGCAGGCTAATGCTGTAAGATACTAATTTGTTTTTAAATGGGAAGGGAAGGATAAGGGAAGGCTCAGGGAGTTTGGCTCTTGAAATTGTGGGACTTAATACTAATAGAGTTCAATGCTATTTTAAAAGGAAGATGCATTAAATGAACTTAGACTTCTTAATCTATAAAAACAGCTAATGTTAATGTTCACTATTTTGCAACACTTTCAGTTAGGTTATTGGCCAAAAAGAAAAGAAAAGTTAAGACTCACTTCCCTTCCTGCATTAATGCTTGAGCCAGATAATTTTGGTTTTGGGTCAATTAAAATTCTTGGTCCAGGGATTTAGCTCAGTGGTTCCACCACCTGCCTCCCAAGTGCAAGGACCGGAGTTCGATCCCTGGTAGAAAAAAAAAAAAAACAACGAAATTCTCAAAGTGGATGGGCTTTGTTTCTGGAATTGACTTTGTTGTAACAGATGACTTAATTTTAAGGATGACATGATTTGAGAATGATGGGCTTGTATGAGGTTGCTGTATTGCAGTTAATTGCTGTTAACACATGAGGTAATTGTTAGCATTCTTGAGTCATAATAGGAAGAGGCAGAACCTTGGAGGACAGAGTTGAAAATTGGCTACTTGACAATGCAGTTGCCTTTAAACATCTCAAGTAGAGAACTTTTACATTAGTGAGATGTACTTGAATTTCAGAACTTAACAAATTTTAATTACTTTTTATTGAAAACTGCACTGAACGCTAAATGTCCACCTTTACAATAAACAAATACAGTAACGGTAACTCACACTAAAACAAAACATACTTCCGGATAGCCATTATTTTTCTGTTTGGGACAGTTTAAAGTTTTTCTTTTGTCACAAAAACAGGAATGTACCTATACAAAGGCTCAAAATAGGCCATCTTTTTAAACAAAAAGGCAATGATTCACAAAAGACTATGAATAGAACATGTAACTAGTTGATACAAATCTAATAGGATTTGTTAAAATCAGTCACATCTAATAACACATCTGAAGTGTTCTTGTATAAAATATCACGTGAAGAAAAGAATTTATCAATGTCTAAAAAAGTGGGTTTGTTCATAGACAATCTGACAAGTTACCATAAAAAGTGTTTCCTGAGACATAAGGAAATGAAACATTATTCTTCTTGAACCCTTACAGTTCAAGACTTTCCACTCAATAAAATAGCTGTGGATCTGAAACTGAGAAAATATATTTGAGTACAAACAGCTTGTGAAACTTAATAATTTTTTCTTTTTTGCATCATCAGAGGGTACTACTGAACTAACAACCAACTTG